GCCGCCGGCGGGGGGGCCGTGCCCCGCGTTTGTGCCCCGGCCCGTGGCGTCCTGCACGGAGGCTCGGTCTTGGGCCTGAGGCCGCAGAGAGGGGAGAGGCGACGGAAACCGGGCAGCGGGCGCGTCGCTTTGGGATCGGCCTCGCCCCCGAAAGGGCCTTTCTTGACTCGCGTCGGGGTTTCGGCGCCTCTGCGGGCTCAGCCGTGCGCGAGGACGGGCAGCTGGACGTGCCAGCCACGCCCCGAGCCGGGAGTAGCGAGTGACGGGTGCTTTTGGTTTGTTTTCTTTCTTTCTCTTCTCTTGTAAACGGATGGGGGTCCCACCACGTGGCCCAGGCTCGCCTCAAACTCCTGGCGTCAAGCAGGCCTCCAGCCTCAGCCTCCCAAGGTGCCGGGATTGGAGCCGCCTCCCCTAGGCCGCTCGCCAACGGGCGCCCTAGCAAGCGCTGGCATGAGACCCGAGGAGAAGACTCGCTCTCATTCAAGAGCACCTGACGTCGGCAAGGCCTTGGGGTGCGCACAGAAGGGTTTCGGGAAACGACCGCTACGTGCAGCAGACGAGGGCCAACAGGACCCCGTGGCGGGAGGCGAACACGGGCCAGGCGGGGACAAAGAAGCCCCAAGGAGCAGCAGTTCCACAGCAGGCTCCTTCGTGGGGGCATCCTGCATCCTGTTCACCTTTGTGTTTGCGACAGCTCTCGGCACAGCCTGGCGCATGCCAAAAGCTCAGGACACTTGAATGTGTACGGGTCTGACAGCCAAGTTCACGAGCTCATCCTAGACACGGCGCTACATTGCTGAGTGTCCCAATGGTCACCTTCAAAGTACGCCCCTGGGGAAGCGTGCACTGACTCCAGCGCCTCGTCTACTTGTCAAAGCGATTTTGAAACTCTCTCTGGCATAGCTATCAGAGCGCCATCCTCTTAGCCTTCATGTCTTGAATGTCATCAAAATAGCTTCCTTTCAATATTTCCTTTATCTTCGGTAAAGAAAAAAGTCATAGGGGGCCAGGTCAGGTGAGTTGGGAGGGTGTTCCAATACAGTGATTTGTCGACTAACTAAAAACTCCCTCACAGACGATATGATGCAAGTTGGTGCATTGTTGGGATGCAAGAGCTCCTTCAGGGCCGTTTTTTTGTTTTGTTTTGTTTTTTGTTTTGAGTCGGAGTCTCACTCGGTCGCCCAGACTGGAGTGCAGTGGCCGCTCCCGGCCACCGCAGCCTCGACCTGCTGGGCTCCGGCGATCCTCCCGCCTCAGCCTTCCAAGGAGCCGGAATTACAGACAGGCGCTACCACGCCTGGCTGATTTTTTGATTTATGGTAGAGATGAGGTCTCGCTGCCCAGGCGGGTCTCGAACCCGCGGGCTCATGCCATCCACTCACCTCAGCCTCCCAAAGGTGCGGGATTACAGGCTGAGCCACCGCGCCCGGCTAGGACCATTTTTACACCTTTCTCATGCCAAGATTTTCAGTTAGTTTTCCTGTTTCTATATTGATGTCTCCTTGGTCTGCTATGCTTCCCAGAGTCCGCTGACAATTTTGACGCACAATTTGATGAGTTTTTGCAATGTTTTTGTCACTTCTGCTTGTTACTGGCAGTGCTGACCTCTCTCCATCAGTGACACTCTCTCTCCCCTCTGAAAAACCTTTAATCCATTTATACACTGCTGTTTTCTTCATGGCATTCCCATAAACTTGGACTAACATGTCCCAGTTTCACTGCCACTGTTGCAAAGTTTAAAAAGAAATGTCATGTTTGTTCATTGCATTCATTCAAACTTTGACATTTTTGCGACGACGCACGATAATGAATGCCACTCAGCAAGACCCTACCACACGTCAACATGAACACAGCTGGGAGACACTGATAAGCTAAGGCCGTGAAACCTTACCAAGTTGTTTGTACAGTACTGCCAGTGTGAGCACACAGTGGCGAGTTCACAAACTTAGTTGTCATACCTCAGACACGGGAGGACAGGAAGAGTGTCTTACTCAGTTGGCTTAGTTTTGCTCCAGTAAAGAGATGCTGAGTTTGAGTGTGTCTCTTTTCCAGTCTAGTTTGCACAGCCGTCCACCATTGCCCTAGGGATGGGAAGCAGTCCCTGTTACTTTTGCATCCAAACCCATGTCATCTCTGCCTGGATGACTTCACGGGCTGCCTCACTGGTCCCCTGCCTCCACCTGCCCCAGGGCCATCCATCCACCACCTAGTAGTCAGAGGGACCTTATAAAAACACAGTTCTCGATGTACATGAATCCTCTTCATGCCTTCTCGTTGCCCTCAGAACAAGGACTAACATCTTGAGACACAGCCTGCAAGGTCCTCCCTGGTCTGGCTCATGCTTAAGTCTCTGCCTCACCTCTCGATCACTACTCTTGCCTCTCTTCTCCCGGGAGACTTTTTAAATTCTGAAACTCCAGTGGTCACAGGCTTTCTGCACACGCAGTCTTCTCTGTTCAGGGCACCTATTTCCTTCTTTGCTTGCCTGGCTCATTCATTCATGACTTAATTCGTTTAAGAAATACTTACGGAGCCCCTACTAAGTGCTGGGCACTGTTTAAGTGCTAGGAATCCGCACTGAATAAAATGAAGTTCCTGTTCTCATCTCATAGAGTTTATCGTGGGGAAAACAGAAAAAAAAAACAAGTGACTAAATAAAAACATTGTGACATAATGAGAAATACATACTTGGTCTCAACCCTGGTTCCTGAGAAGACACAAAGCTCCTTCCCGAGTGATGAGGGTAATGGGAGCATCTCATACAGAACTCCTAAATCCCTTGGAAGTGCCTGCGTGCCCGGAGCATCTTTTGCTCTGAGGTGACTCTTGGTGGGCTTCTTCATGGAGTCAGGGTGGGGGCTGGTCGTCAGAAAGTCTTTCTGGTGACCGCCATGATGAGGAGCTTGGGCTTTCAGCCTCCCGCCTTCATCCTCTGGTGAGAGGGGCTGGAGGGTGAGTTAATAATTGGTTATGCCTATGTGATAAAGCCCCCATAAAAAAGCCCCTCAAGTCAGGCTGGGCGCAGTGACTCAAGCCTATAGTCCCAGCACTTGGGGAGGCCGGGCAGGAGGATTGCCTGAGCCCGCGGGTTTGAGACCAGCCTGGACAACTTGGCGAGACCTCGTCTCTACAATCAAAAATCAGCTGGGTGTGGTAGCGCGTGCCCGTAGTTCCGGCTCCTTGGAAGGCGGAGGCAGAAGGATCGCCGGAGCCCAGCAGGTCAAGGCTGCAGTGGTTGAGAGTGTGCCACTGCACTGAAGTCTGGGCGACAGAGTGAGACTCCAACCCCCCCCAAAAAACCCTCAAGTTTGGGATTCAGGGCTTCTGGGTTGGTGAACACGTGCTGCTGCTGGGAGGGTGGCACGTCCGGAGAGGGCATCGAAGCTCCGTGCCCCTTCTCCATGCCTTGCCCTATGCACCTCTTCCACTTGGCCGTCCCTGAGTTGTGTCCTTTAAAATAAACCAATAACAGCACGTAAAGTGTTTCCCTGAGTTCTGTGAGCCATTATAGCAGATTATCAAACCTGGGGAGGGGGTTGTGGGAAGCCCCGATTTAGTCAGCCGGGCAGAAGTACAGGTGGCGACCTGGGACTTGCGACTGGCATCTGATGTAGGGACAAGCCCATAGCACGGAACTCTTTAACTTGTGGGGTCTGATGCTAAATCCAGGCAGAGAGTGTAGAGAGTGTCAAAACTGAACTGTAGGACACCCAGCTGGTGTCCACAGAGAACTGGAGAGTTGCTGACACACATTTGGGGTCAGCAGTGTTGTGAAAGCGGAATCACACGGTAGAGACAGAGCAGGGCAAAGGCATTGAGGAAGGGGAGGGCGCTATTGTAGGAGTGTTCCATGAAGCGCCCTGAGGAGCTGACACTCAAGGGAGCCCTGACAGGGGTGAATGAGCCATGCCGGCAGATGGGAGAACCGCCCTGGGCCGGGCCAAGCCTCAAGGAACGTGCAAGGCTGCCTGTGGCTCAGCAAGGACGCCCAAGGTGACCCAGTGGAGTGACAGGAAAGGGGGCAGGACACAGGGCCCTGGAGACCACGGCAGGGAGTGTGGGTTTGATGTTACCTGTGAAGGGAAAGCAGCGGCAAGTTCTGAGCAATGGAGGGACATGATCCATGGAAAGAAAAGGATCCCTCTAGCTGCTGCGTGGAGAAAAGGTTGGGAGGGCCTGAGAGAAGCAGGAGACTCCTGAGCAGGACGCTGTGGCAACCTGATCCGCAGCGCCAGTGGTGGAGCTGAGAGTTCAGGATGTATGTCCTGAGGGGAGAGGCAACTGGGCGTGGTGGCTCATGCTTGCAATCCCAGCACTTTGGGAGGTGGAGGTGAGAGGACTGCCTCAGCC